GTCCTCACCACAGTGGTGTTTCTTGAGATCTGGATGGATGTGCTCGGTTACCCAGTTTCTGAGCTCGATCCTATGGTCCCGGTGTTCCTTGTACTCTCGGTAGTCTTGTTGATACGCAGAAGTGTCGATGGCATACTCAGCCTTGCCGTCCTTTGATAGCTCAGATGGTTTGTAGGAACCATCTCAGGTGCGGCTTCGATATCTGGCGAGTTTTCAGAGCGCTCTGCGATTTCAATCTGGCTCTCTCTCCAGGCCACCTGAAAAGCCCTTTCCAGGTTCTTGTCGACTGTGTAGTCTTTCACGACTGGCTTCTTAGGAGGTGTAGGCCAGTAATGTCGATTAGTAGGTCTGATATACTTCCAGAGATCCATGGCTTTGGCTTTGCCTCTGAACTCTGCTGACCATTCTTCCCAGTACTTGCCAGAGGCTAGGAAGGTTGTGTTGGCGTATTTGTTTGACATTGTGATTTTCTCGAAGGGAGGCCGTGACATGCCTAAATGAAGTTCTGTGAAAAAACAATGATGCCAGAGGCAGTGAGACTCTTAATTGTCGAATATCACGTGTGTCCAATCGAGTAGTCAGAAGTGCATAAGATTGTATATGAATGAGGTGTGTTATTGTCTGTGTTCTATTCTCGCGAACTCCCGTTGCTCTGCCCTTTATAGATTCTTCTGTCGGCTGGTGTAGTTGGTCACTTCGCTGGTAGATAAGTCCCGATTTCAGCCTCGCCCACTTGGGTCGGTGACGAGTCGCGGGTTCGAATCCTGCAGCTGACACACAAGGGGGTTTAGTCAACCCTTATGGCGCGCTGCCCACCTTGTTGACTTCGCCTACCTAGCGATAATAGGGAGATTGGTGCAGTTTAGGATTACGAGCATCCTAGCCAGTCGACCGTCAAGCACTACGTCGGCGGAATATAACTCGACAGCCGGTCCAGAATTCGAATCGTTAATCCGACCCCTTATCGGACCCCCTCTCGCCGCGATTCTTGCGAGCGTCTAGACCACGTTACGGTCTATCCACTTGAGCGTATGGTTGAGATGTATACGCTCGACGAGAACCCCAATTAGCAGATACTACGACTTGTCGCGACAAAAAAAATAGTCGAGCATCTTCTGCACATCAGCAGCATCCCACCCCTGAGGACGAATTTAAGTGCCACATTACCACACTTATCGGTAGTTCAGGCAGGGGTTGTAGCACAGACTTAGGGAGGGACAGGAGGTTTAGTAGTCGTTTGGCTACAAGTTTACCTGTATAACCGCCCGACGCGGCTTAAGGGCCCGCTATATCATCTATAGCCCCTTAAGGGAGTACTTGTAGAGGTACCGAGGGTTAACACCTACGGCGTATTTAATATTATTTTTAGATTCTTCCGGAAATGTCGGAGGTGCATTGTTCAGGTGTCTGACCCCGAACTTCGGAGTTACTTTCGGGAAGAGGGGTTCATTTCGCCGTCTGAACTTTAAGTGACACTAGTCTTCTCTAGTGCCATATTATTTCTGAACCTAGGAACCAGGTGTCCTATCTGACAACCGGAGGCGTCTACCCTATGCCAGATCAGGACCGGAAAAATAAGACTATCAGCTTTCTTATTTAAGATAGGAGCCTTCGGTGTGTACTCGCCGTTATGCCGCTGTGGAGAGGCCCCCGAGACGACAGAGCACGTAATCCTCTTTTGCGGCCTGCTGGAAAAGACGAGAGAGCGCCTACGGGCCACTATCGCACCATGGCCGCTGCATACACGTAGAGACCTGGCAACGGCGACGGGGAAACCAGTAGTCAGCGGGACTATCACAAGGTGGCTACTCAGGACTGGCCGGATAGCGTTTAGGCCCGGATAATATCGATCTTCTCAGGGGGACTTTGTTAGTAGGGTGAGAACTAACATAGTATTGTGGTGGACGTAACGCAGTCGCTAATAGAGCGAACCTACGTAGCAGCGTATGTATTTAGTCCAGCCATTAGGGCACGGTTTGACATACGGGAGCACTTGTAGAGGTACCGGGGGCTTCGAGCCTACGGCGTATTTAATAATAATAATAATAACGTGATCCACAAGTCATTTTCGCACACAAGTCACTTTCGCACACAAGTCACTTTCGCACTTTTCTTGGCACCTTCAAGTAATTCAGTAATATCCTATGCATAACCCGCATTTTATCCTTTAAATTACTCAAAATCTTCTTCATTATCAGTTTCTACTTCTATTGAACAAGTCCTTGCATTATGTCCAGTCCCTCCGCAAATACCACAGCGCCTTATACCGGTCTGCCGGCGCTTTACAGGACGACTGCTTTCCCCTTCTTCCTCCTCCATAACCTTGATATCACCCCTCAAGGCCCGTAAAACTTGTGCATCACCTATACTAAGTGCTCCTCCATATTGGATTTGCTTATTTTTCGTCCTACGACGCTTACTTAGTATATGGTTCGTCTCACAAAGCTCTTCGTTCTCCCGACGTAATAATGCATTCTCATGCATCATTGCATGCGTAGCCTTCGTAGTCGAGTTAATTGAGTTCAAAATATGCGTCGGCGAGCTGTCTTGATGCCTCTGGACGCTACTTTTAATCAAAGTTGACTGCGATTCGGCTTCGAGGGTGTTGGTAGGCGTCTTAGAAACCCAGACGGAGGGAGGCAATTGGGGGTCGGGTGTCGGTATTCGTACTACTTTTGCGATATCCAACGTAGATATGACCCTATCCGGGTTAAAAGGAACAAGTCCAGCTGCTTCGAATCCTGATCTGATGTTTTTTTCGTGAAAAGCACCAATGAAAGCTTCTAAAAACCCAGCTAAGAAATCCTGCTTCTCAATATGGGTTTGATGCCTTCGCCTTAAACCCTCCACGAACGCACCGTACAGCCGTTTCAACACACTAAAAGATACCAAATCCAAAGGCTGGAGCTTGTGAGATGAATGGGAAGGCATACACAATGTAATTACGCCGTGCGCCGCGAGGTAAGTCTCAAAATCCATCGAGTGGTGGCTCTCGTGACCATCCAATATTAAGAGACTTTTCGCACCCTTCCGACGGCTAATAATATGTTGAACAAAGTGTTTTGCCCATTACACACCAATATTATTAGTAGTCCAACCGTTATGGGAAAGGTCGACCTTCCAGTTGGCCGGTAGGTCGTTACCGCGATACCACGAAGCAAGATGAACCTTGCCCGCGAAGATGATGTACGGCGGTACCGGCCAACCTTGCGAATTAATAGCCTGGATCACCGTAACCCATTCCCGACCTCCTTGTGTAGCCTGTCTAGGCCGTCCGTGTCTTTCTGCACTCGTTACAACCATACCGGTTGTGACGGTCAACCCTCGCAGACTCACTACAACCAGGTGACGTACAGCTGGAACACCTGCCATGGCAGTGCCAGGTGGGAAGCCAATCATAACCCTTGTAGGAGCCCCGCCAAGCGTGGATGACTTAGTCGCGCTCCCTCAAACCTAAGTTGTCATCTTCTTTCCTTCGCTCCTTAGAGTAGAATCTTGGTCGATAGCACCTAATCGAGGTCTATACCAATGCGATGCAACCCAGGTCGTGACACCGGTTGTGATTATGCCCATTAGGAAGCCCGTCTCGTCAAAGTTGTAGATATCCTCCGGTAAGATACCGTATTTAGCGATTGTGTCCCTAACAAGCTCAAACCACGCGTAATACGTGATATGATCTTCGCTAAATACCCTCTGGTAATCAATTCGACGGTTTAAACGCGTTCGGAGGTCTTTTCGGCGGTTAACGAAGTTCGTGGTCCAGTTCTTGCCGACGGGGGGCGCGTCGCGTACGCGTCGTAGGATATTCGCCATTTCTTCAACGTATCGAAGCCGAGGAGGAAATGCTCGCGCATCTAGCTCAATTATACGTCGGGCAATCGTATCCTCTTCGGTTTGAGTTAGATTTCGTTTTAACATATTAGCTTTGTGTCGCGTTTGGTCGCCGTCGAATCGATTCTTTAGTGTACGGTCGCAAACGTTGTAGATACGGCCAAGCTTACGCCATGAAATTTCAGGGTTGCGCTTTTTAGCTTGGATAGCTAGCTGAAGATCGGCTTCTTTGGATTTACGAGGCATGTTGTGGGAGGGAAGAAAAGTGCAAGCCAAGTTAAAAGGTTGAAATATTTGAAAAAGTGCGAAAGTGACTTGTGTGCGAAAATGACTTGTGGATCACGTTATAATAATATATCTCTAGTAGAGCAGGCAGATATTTCTAAATCAAAGTCTTTATTAAGGGAAGACTTAGAACTAGAGCTACTGCATGTCACGACCTGGGTTGCATCGCATTGGTATAGACCTCGATTAGGTGCTATCGACCAAGATTCTACTCTAAGGAGCGAAGGAAAGAAGATGACAACTTAGGTTTGAGGGAGCGCGACTAAGTCATCCACGCTTGGCGGGGCTCCTACAAGGGTTATGATTGGCTTCCCATCTCACACTGCCACGGCAGGTGTTCCAGCTGTAATTCACCTGGTTGTAGTGAGTCTGCGAGGGTTGACCGTCACACTGCACAAGTGTACGGGATCGGGGTATGTAATTAACAAGCTAAGGTGTATGTAGAATCATCTTCTAATTAGCTACAAAAAGGTATATATATCTTGTTTCTAAGCCTAATAGCTACTAAGTTATGTGTAATTAGACTAGTAGTGCTTTCCATAGTTATATTGGCTTAGCGAAAGGGTGGCATGGTAGGTGTAACGTCGTAAACCGAACATATCGCATTTTCTTATCATCTTTACTGGAGTTTGTGGACTACTTCGAGATGTATTAATCGCAACCAGCTTCATTCAGGCTGTCTATATTCCATACGAAACCATTAAATACCAATACTTAAGTAACGTTTCGGGGATATCCTCCCCTGTACTCTTCTCGCAATTTGTTAGGCAACCTTGGTGGGCTTTGCCAAGACCACCAAGGTTACCACGTGACTTAGCCCTTCGGGACTAAGTCCAACCTTCGTGCTCCATAGGACTAGATAGAATGTCATGCTTTTACAACCTCACAAATCTTTGACCACCTTTGCGTGTAACACAATTGATCTACCAAATCAAGAACTCGATTGCTACGTAACCTATCGCAGACTTCAGAAATCCATTCATGCTGAAGCTGGGAGCCCTTGGTCTTCCTTAGTAGGCTTTCCGTTGATGAATGCTCCCTGACATGAAGCTGCGGTGGATGGAGCTTCGCTCAGCATGCCCATATCCCCAATTTCTCAAAATCAATCAACCCACAATGAAATAATGGCCATTTAAACTCAAGAGTGAGTAAGCAGAAGCTGACTGGACCTAGCTCAACCCCAAACCGTGAAAAGGCTGCGAGCACCGAGTTAGACCTCAGGGACCTTCTCGGGCTCGCTGCTGCGCGACTTGGGCTGCGAGCTAGCGTCGGTGTGCTTTGAGCTGGACTGACCGGAATTTGCCGAGGGCCCCGAGTGTCTTTTACAGCGCCTCGAAGATGTGTCGTTAAATCGGCGCCAGGAGATGCGGCTAGACGACCAGATAGGCGGCAAGTTGGAAACAATGACGGAGACGAAGGTCTCGCGGCATGCCCAAGCACCTGACTGCGATGCGCCGGTCTTTGAATTCTACATGTTAATCGTGAGTCTGGCAATCCCGTTTTCCATATATTATGTGCCAAGAAGATGTGTCGTGACATACCTCCATGAGGAAAACGCAGCGGAGGATGGCTGCGGCCATGACGAAGAAGGCACCCGAGAAAAGCGCACATAGGCCAAATTTTTTGCCATTGCTGATCCCGGCCTTCCACATCATGGGCAGTGGAATTGACATGAGATATGTATCGGTGATGACGTCAAGACAGACGCAAGTGAAAATGAAGAGATGCGAGATGGCGGCCTGGCAGAAATCTGCATTTCCATTGTCAGCAGCGGGTAGCCAATCGATTTGACTTGAGGCTGGGTACTTACTGCCGGGGTCAGGGTTGATCTGCCAGTACTTGCCGAAGGGGAAACAGCCAGCAAGAAGGGTCAAGTGAGTCCAAATCCAAGTGACGCAGATAACAGCGAATCCGATCTTAATGCGCTGCTCATAGCCCTGAAGACTTTGCTATATATCTGGTGTCAACATCTGAGCGTGCCAGGGTGACTTCATAGTGAACCTACCGTGAGACGAAGGTAGAAGAAACAGACGGACAACTTCAAAGTCCACAGCAAGGCAGTGTAACTGTTCTGGCCAGCAATCTGCGTCTTTGAGCCTCCGATTCTACATTCTAATCAGTATTTCCCGATCCGAACTGGGAATATATTTCTATCGCCATGCTTACCTCAAGTACTCTTCGTGACTGCCAGGAATGACGGCGGCTCTCTCTTCGTCCGTCATTCCATTGTTGGCAATTCCGTACCAGTGGGCGTCGACAGACCAAGCGAGGTACGTCTCGGCAGCATAGATAAACTAGAAAGACTAAATATTACCATGTGAATGACAGCAACTTCGCCAGCTTGACTTACTGCAGCAAGTATCATGAGGTAGTCATCGACATAGAGTCGGCTCCAACCCATGGCACCAATGCGGAAGGCGAGGCGCAGAAATATGAAGAAGAGCCCGAAGCCCAGTAGGGAGAACAGCTCGAGGTAGTGGCTCTCCATCTTGGTCTTGTGCTGCAACTAGGATGACAACGGCACAGTTGCCAGCTTAGCTGGCAAGATGATGAAGGAAGCGGCGAAGAAGAGCAGTTTCCTGTTGCAAAGGCCCTAGATTTAGGTGGCAGAGAGTGATGGGTCGAGAAATTGGTAAATTCAAAATTGTGGAAGTGAATTGAAATAAGTACTAGAAAGAAAAGAGTGAGACTAACTGGCTGACCGATGGGACACTGGGGATTTTGGGATGAATATCAATGTATCCAGAATGATGCTGGATATAGGTATGATTTTACTAGGTGCCTGAGGAAACTCACCTTGGGAAAAGAAACGGCACTTTGAAGTGGTTACTTGGATACTCAATCTGGAGCTCGCAGACTTGATCTGGCGAGTTCACGAGGCAGTCACGTATAGAAGCTGGAATAACTAGTCTCTTAGTCAGGATATTGATCAGAGGTCACTACTTGCTTCACACACATAATCTATTTAGTGAGGGATTCAACCCTCAGATGATGACTCTGTACAGATCCTGTATTGGTTACGATGCTCGATGCGCAGTGTGATGTGTGTATTGACTGCTCGGAGTGCTCTGTAAGAAGTTACATCTAAGGTAGGTAGGCAGGTGCCGACCTTTTATCTACACAAGCGATTTCACTGCCTTAGGCACCACCTCAGGCACACATATGGCGCTCAATCCCACATTTACCATCATAAGAATGAAGCAAATTGAATTTTCAATAAGTGATCATATATCACCGGGAAGTGCACCATCATAGTGACTTGCTTGAACTGTTAGTTTTCAATAAGAGATACTCGACTTAAGAGCGGCCGAGGCATTTTATGTTTGAGGCTATAGCGGCGTGTATGCGATTCGGTCCTCTTAGCGCGACTACCCTAATACTACGTTCCTTAATCTAGCTATATATTTATATTCTTCTAATTAAGTAGGTCCTTGTTACGAACCACGTTCCTAACCAACACAGAATAGGCCCGTTGGCAGGCCTTAGGTGGATACCTGCAGGAAAGGACCGGAAGAAGGCCGGACCGACTAGAGAAGGTCACGTGACGGATCACGAAGAATAGGAGTGATCCAACGAGATCAGTGAAGGAGAGATGGATATATAAGGGACAGGACTCCCAGGCATTTCATAGATAGACCGTCTCTACTTCAGTGATCAATCTAAGCATCAATCTAACCCATTGGTGAGGCAAACTGCCTTAACGACTCTATTCCCGATTACCCTACTTGAATACTTCAGTTACCCAAAGCACTCTACTCCATACGTCAAACTCCGATATTATTGCTTGAGGACTCCGCAGCAGGACTTACTTAACGTCCCACACCCACATCCGGGACACCCCTACATGTGGGACACCCAAAAATGCCTCATCAACACCGCTAGCCTCTAACTTCAACCTCTTTTTTCTTTACCAATATCGATTCAATCGTTACAAAATTTTACGTACGTCTTCTTTACACTAATATGAGTCAATATACCGAAGATGATATTTATCGAGCTCTTCAAGCAATAGCTACCGGTCAAAGCCTCCGAAAAGCAGCATATGAGCATGGTGTCCCAAGGTCTACTCTTTCACGACGGATTCAGGGAGCCCAGTCAAGAGATATAGCCTTCGCTGACTACCAGAGGCTCTCTCCAGCCCAGGAATCTCATCTGGCTGAATGGGTTCGAATCCAGGCTGCTCTAGGCCTCCCACCAACCCATCAACAGCTCAAAGACTTCGCCGAGCGTATCCTACAGATCCACGGAGACACGGAACCACTTGGAAAGAACTGGGTCCAAGCTTTTATCAAGAGGAACCCTTCAGTCAAGGTCCAGAGAAGCAGAGCTATCGATTCCCAGCGTATTAATGGAGCCTCAGCTAATGTGATCAGGCAATGGTTCAAATACCTCGCTATCCCTGAGATCAAAGCTATTAAGGCCTCGAATCGATACAATATGGATGAGACAGGTATTCTAGAAGGTAGAGGATCAAATGGTCTTGTTCTAGGATCATCCGAGACTCGTTCTATACGGAAGAAACAGCCTGGATCTTGAGCTTGGACATCTCTTATAGAGTGTATCTCTGCGACTGGTACTGCACTACCCCCACTTGTGATATACAAGGGGAAGTCTGTCCAGTGTCACGACCTGGGTTGCATCGCATTGGTAGAGACCTCGATTAGGTGCTATCGACCAAGATTCTACTCGAAGGAGCGAAGGAAAGAAGATGACAACTTAGGTTTGAGGGAGCGCGACTAAGTCATCCACGCTTGGCGGGGCTCCTACAAGGGTTATGATTGGCTTCCCATCTGACACTGCCACGGCAGGTGTTCCAGCTGTACGTCACCTGGTTGTAGTGAGTCTGCGAGGGTTGACCTTCACATCCAGCAGCAGTGGTTTCCTCTGGACTTGACTCCATACGAAGCCTGGAGGTTTACAGCAACAGAGAATGGGTGGACGTCAGACTCTACGGCTATTGAGTGGCTACAAAAGATCTTTATTCCTTTGACTCAACCAGAGGACCCTGAAGAGACTAGGTTACTTATCCTAGATGGGCATAGTAGCTACGAAACGACAGAGTTTATGTACCTCTGCTTCATAAACAAGATACACTTGCTTTTCTTGCCGCCACACACATCCCACGTTCTCCAGCCTCTCGATCAGTCAGTCTTTGGACCCCTCAAGGCAGCCTATAAGAAGGAGCTTGGTTACCTTGACCGATGGGATACTACTACTGTCGTAGGGAAGAGAAACTTTCTCCTCTGCTATAGAAAGGCACGTCTAGCAGCATTGACCGCTAAGAACATTATCAGTGGATGGAAATATACTAGTCTCTGGCCTTCGAGCATAGCTAGACCCCTTATGAGCCCCCTGCTCCTTGAGAATACGTTAGCACTAATCAGACAGCCTAGTCAGTCTTGCAAAGGGTACTATGATAGTAAGGGTAGTCAGGACTGGGCGTTAGAGACATCAGCAGTAGCCTGGTCAACGCCTAAGAGGTGTCAGGGTACGGCTAGGCCGAAGGCAATAGTACAGAGTGATGGGGAGTAACGGGCGTCCCTCCTACGTAGCACCGGGTGGTCACTGGCGGTCTCAGGTAGGGGTGCCCACGGTGATGCATTGATCTCTACTCTCCCTCTATCTTCTTCCCGGGCCTCCGCCCCTTACATAGATAGCTAGAACCCGACGTCGGAGCCGCGGAGCACTAGTTTCTCCGATTGTTCCGCAAACCAAGACTTCCATATCGTGTCATGACTCGCACATCCCTACACCAGAGCCCCACCGGTGTCCCACCGGTGCCTATGGCATTCTGTTCTCTGACAAGAGGAGAGATGAGCTCCAAGATCAACTCAGCTTATTTAGCAAGCTTGATAGTGATCCAAATACCCAGCGGCTACTCTTTCGGAAAGTTCAAAAGGGCTTTGATGAGAAGGACTACCAATTAGCTGTCGCACAGCGAAAGATTGAGGTAATAGAGGCAGAGCTTGAGGCTAGTAGGGCTAGGAAGCGGAGGAAGGTCAAGATGAGCCCAAATTCGAAGTTTACTAATATCAAGGCTATTCGGAAGGCTCAAATCGAGGCTGGTGAAATTGAGGATAGTACAGATGAGTCTAGCGAGTCTAAAAACCCTAGTGACGGTGAAAGCTGTATTGTAGTCGCATTAGAATAAGTGTAAAAAAGGTTGAAGTTAATGGTTATAATATACAGCATCATTTTTAGGGCGTCCCACATGTGGGGTGTCCCGGATGTAGGTGTGGGACGTTACTAGCACAAACCCTTACAGACTCTTTAGTGGTTTACGCAGCTAGACTATTAGAGGTTTCGTTACATTTTGATCACTCTTGCTTAAGTCAGTCATCCTACGGACGCTTCAAGCAATATCACTCTCGACACCATGGCACCTCAAACCCCAACCGGAAGCACTGTGGGAAGTACTACCCCCGCGATTAACCCTGCGCAGATGCAGGCTATGATCAATCAGCTTCAGACTCGGATCCAACAGCTAGAGACCCAGCCTAGCGGTCCCCCTACTAACATCACTCGATACCAACCTCCAAACCCCAAGGCCTACGATGGTGTGAACGGTAACGTTCAAGGCTTCCTGACCCAGGTCAAAGCTTACCTTCGACACCACGAAGCCTCAATGGACTCCGAAGCCCAGAAAGTACTCTGCGCGGCAGGCTTTCTGACCGGATCGGCACTCACTTGGTTTGAACCTACGATGAGAGACTACTTGGATCACGATAATCATACGGAAAGAGATCAGGACACCCGAATGATCTTTGGCGACTACGAGGAGTTCGAACGACGACTTCGAGCTATGTTCGGCAACCCTAATGAGACTAGGACCGCTGAGAGACAGCTCCTAGGTCTTCGACAAACCACATCAGCCGCTCATTACGCCCTTGCTTTCCGGCAGGTATCGTCACACCTGGATTGGGACGAAGACGCCCTGAAGGCGCAATTCTACCAAGGACTTAAAGAAGAAGTCAAGGACGAGGTCACGCGCATGGATCGACCAGAAGATTTCACGGATTATGTGGAAATGGTCGTACGTATCGACAATCGATTGTACGAGAGACGTATGGAACGGAAGGGTCAACCTGCGAGGCAGGTACGACCTAACACAGGCCGAAGAGTGCAGCGAAACGACAATCGGGGAAGCTACAACCGTTATTCCACTTCCACCGGCGCTCACTCTGGACCTATGGACATCGATGCCACTAGACACGACAAAAGCAAGCCTAGAGGAAAAGGCTGCTTTAACTGTGGCAAAGAAGGACACTTCGCACGAGAATGCAGGCAGAAGAAACAATGGCGACCGGTACCCGAGGGGAAGCGCCAGATCAGCCTAGCAGCTCGCTACGAAGGTTGTGTGAGCGACACACCAATGTTATGCCCGGTACACGTCACGAACGACGAAGACATCGACGAGGAAGATACCAGCCCCCTTGAAGAAAACCACTCCGACCTGAATTGGACGGTATG